CTTAGCTGTCTACAATGCTTGGCAGGGGGGAGGGGTTGTACTCAAAGTGTTCCTCCCAGCTCAAGCCTCTGACTCTAACTGGTCAGATAACAGCTATCTACAGCACCACAACCACTGCAGCTTGAAACAGGACAAGGTTTAGCTCCTGGCACTCAGGCCTGGGCTCAAGGTCACAATTCCCAGGACAGGGCAAGAAGAGAGACTATGTCAAATTGGTACCTCTTTAGGCTGGCCAAGGTGGTGCATGCCTGCAATTCTAGCACTTGGGAGGGTGAGGCAAGAGGATTATTGTGAGTTTGAGACCAGCCTGGACTACACAGTGAGTTCAAGGGCAGCCTGAACTACATAGAGAAATCCTGTCTCAAAAAGACAAAAACAAAACCCAATCAACCAACCAAACAAACAAAAAACCCCATAAAACAAATTGGTACCATTTTGTGAAATAGGAAGAAACTGTTTAGATGGAAAGAGGAACTAGGCAGGGGGAAAAGAAGGAAAGGAAAAGAAAAATAATGAGAAAAGGAGGATGATATAGAAACAAAGCTTTGTAAATAAGAAGGGAGAGGAGTTGGTGAAGGGAGAGAACAATAGGGGAAAAAAAGAGGAACCAAGATGTATCATATACAGGTACAAATTCCTGGATGAATGTGATCCTTATACATATTTAAACTGTAGCAATAAGTTTAATAAAAAAATTTTCCTCTAAATGATAAAGTCAGTCACTATCAGAGTGAGTGAGATTTCCTCAGTAGACAGAACTAAGATCTTGCAAAAGTTATTTGAAACGCTCAAACCTATTGCTCCACTTGGCAGGTATTTCGCATAAACCACTTATTTTCATTTATTTCACCACCACTCAAAATGTACACCTTGACAAGTTAGCCAAATTACAGACAAGGTAACTTAACAGAATGTCCTTTCAATGGATATCTCCCTTCTTACAGAGAAAGTTGCTGCAGCCCATGTTTATAGGAATCCTGTTTGTGTGCTGGGGCTGAAGTGTGGGGATGGGTGAAAGACACGCTATCCTTCAGGTGGAGATTCTTTCTGGTACACACTATTCCATTCTAACTGCTAACAGCCTTACTGTCTCTCCTGAGATGCACCATCTCAGGGCAGGCTCTTGTTCCCACCTTCACCATCTAACCACCCCACCATGTAGCCTCATTCAAGAGCCTCTCGCTTGAGGGATCTGAAGTTTGTCTTAAGACTCCGTACTACCTTGATCAGGAAATATACACATAACTGTGCTCGTCTCAAACCATTTTTCTTCCTTCTTTTCATAGGATGGGTTGAAGGACCATCTATCCTTGGGCGTTTCCAACACCCACATATTTTTTTAAAAAGTATTTCCATTGGGTTATCTTGTGGTGAAGCACTAGATTGCTGAAATTGTCATGCTTTGACCTGTATTGTTATGTTGCTATGTCTTCTTTTATCTCAATCTCCCCTTATTAATATAAAAATTTATTATTTTTTAATTAAGGGGAAAAAAAATCAAAAAAATTGCAGGATATATTACAGTAACTTTTTTGATTGCCTATTAACTTGATTTGAAGCCCTGTATTACTCCCACTATCTTGTTTTGACTGATTATAGACTGCTCCGTTCTGTTTGATAGTATCAAGTTTGAGGGTATAGGCAACTACTTTGAAGGCAGTAAGATTCACTATGATGCCCATTCTGGTTTGACTATTATCTTCTCTTGAAGTTCTGTAATGTTTCCAAAGTTTAGGTCTTATTGGTCTTGTTCTGTACTGTTTTGTTCAATTTTATTATACCTAATGATATAGGCAATTCTTTTTAAGGAAGCAAGAGGCATTATGGTAACCACTGTTGATAACCTTGTCTTGTTTTTATATCATGTGCTATGTCTATCCTTGGTTTTGACTGACTGCTTTATTTTGTCATATTTGGTTTTATTCTCTTCCAAAAAAAAAAAAAAGTAATTAGAACTATGGGAGTAATAAAACCCAAAATGTGTATTTTGTTGTAAAAAAGAGAGGAAAAAAAAAGTGCTCTAAAGGATACAACTGCAAGTGTGTTTAGGTGTGTTAAGATAGATGACCATATTACTGAGTTTTTGTTGGATCACTGAACACAACTGTTTGTAGTCTCACTGTTTGAATGTCCACTTTGTATGCTTTAATCCTGTAACTTGAACAACTATTTCTAAGATGACAATATGTAATCTATTAACTAGTGATTTCTTACTGTTTTTTTTGTAATTCTGTATTACTTGTACCCTTATACTGTTTTGTTTTCCTTTAAATTAAAAAGAAAGTATTTCCATTGACGAATGATTAATTTTAATTTTACAAGCTTTATTATATTAAACAATGTGTACTTAACTGTAAAAAAATATCAGAAAAATATCCCATTAAAAAATTGGTGCCACTAGAACTGCAGTAATTAGCTGTCAGCATCACAGACTGAATTGCCCAACTCTCCTGAGACATGCAAGGTAAACAAGTTCCTAACCTTTTCTCTTCTTTTCACCTATTTCTCCTAAATGAAAGAAGCACTTATGTTTAACTAAAACTTTGCCCTATAAAGCAACACAAATTCCAAGTGCAGAGGTCTAAATGGGAACCCTGATCTCAATTAGCTGTGACAACTCCATAATCCTAACCCAAATTCCAGTCCTAATGTCAACCTTCCTCCATACCAGGACAAACCTTAATTATAGGAGATCTTTCAAAAGCAGAAAAAATGAGATGGAAATAGGAAATGATAGCATGAAATACGATTCAAATACTGGCAAACCAAGCCTTTGATCTCTAACACAGCACTACCCAAGCTTCATTGTGGGGAAAACCTACTCTTCCAGTTACTAGGTGGCAGACAAGTTGGCCTGGCACAAGTTGGCCAAGTATGTTCAATGAGAACACAAGATAGATCCAGCCAAACTTGCATGAACCAGATCTAGCTGGAAACGTGAGAGTGACAAAGGGTTAAGAACTGACCACCATATTTTTATTTAATGGAGTACTACTCAGCCATAAAGGATAAATCAGACTTTTATATGCAAATAGATGCAACTTGAGACCATACTCATAAGTGAAATAAACCAAACACACACTGTGAATATCATGTCGTCTCACTAGTGTGAGAAGTTGAAAAAAACAATATATGAGCTCATTGAAGACAAAGGTTTGTGCTGGTATTGTTTGGACTACTGAATTCAGAGCCTTGTGCTCTGGGTGAGTGATTTGGGGATGGTAACGCACAACACATGTTCCATTGTTGCCCCTTGACTGTCATGTTCTGAAATTTTGGGTAAAATGGATTTGAAGATATAAAAAAAAAAAAAAAAAAAAAAAAAAAAAAACTGATCAACACAATAACTGTCGCCTCTAACAGCACAAGGTTCAGCTCCAGGAACTTAGATCTGGGCCAAGAGCCACAATTCTCAGTCCCCAATCCCATCCCAGAAGGGCAAGAAAATAGGTTATGGTCAAATTAGCACCAATTTATACTGGGCATGGTATCACATGCCTGTAATCCTACCACTTGGGAGGCTGAGACAGGAGAACTGGTGGGAGTTTGAGATCAGCCTGGGCTACAAAGTGAGTTCAAAATCAGCCTGAACTGCATAGTGAGACTGTCTCAAAAAAACCAGTAACTGACCTTATGTTTGATGACTAAGGCTCCTTCCCTGAGACAAGCGGCCCTCCTTTCTCCCCCATATCTCAAGGCTTCAGCAAAATCTAAGAGTAGCTTATTTCGACCTTTCATGTTGAGATTAACGGAAAAGAGGCAGAGAAAACACATTTGGCCTCAACTTAGCTCCTAGATAAACCACTTAATACCTGGCAGGATTGTAAAGGTGAAATGATACAGTACATGTGGAAAACAGTACCAAGCATATGTGGCGGTCAGTTTCTGATCTACTGCCCTAGCCCACACCTTTAGATTTTCTGCCTCAACCTCTGTCCATGCTGTTTGCTGTCCTGGCAAGTCCTCATCCTCCCTAATCTCCACATGTCTACACTCTCATAAAAAACTGAATTGGTCTAGGTCTAGGACTGAAATGGCAAACCTTTCAGAGCTTCCAGTGACACAAACAGCCTGCTATGATCCACATGCCATAGGTTCAGCACCACTGGGCAAGGGTTTCCAATGTGCCAGGGTGCCTCTGGTGACAAGTCCTTTACAGAGGCGGATCTTCTACCTGGGGTACTCCCTCTACCTTATACTTCCTACTTCTGTCTCTGGGCACCATCCCGAAAGGTCAATTGCCTTCAGCACCTCTCTCCTTCACTGTAAAGCAACTTTAAAAAAAATTAATGAATGCTTCTCTCTCCTCAATTAAGCTGCAAAAAATTTACAAGGAAGGGGAAAGTTTGATTATTATCTGTCAAGTTACTCTACAGCCTAGCAGAGTATCTAACCAATGAAACTCCATAGCTAATTCTACTAAACAAGCAAACTTCAACACTCAGTATTGTTTTCTTTATAGTATCTAAACTGAAGAGAAGTGTGCTATTCAAAGCAGGAGAATGGTTAAGTAACAGTACATACGGTGGGATGCCACACAATCACTGCAAGGATGACAAACAGAAGAATGACGGGGAGCAGGAATGTTCAGACCAGGACTGAGTGAAAAGAGCAGGAAGTAATACTCCTTCAGTACAGTGGGAGATTTAAACTATGTAGAGGTGAATGAGTGAATTTAGGATTATGAAGTGTTTATTTCCTGAAAACCTTTACCAATTTTGTAGCACATTTTTTACTGTGACTACTTATTACTTACATGAAAAAGTTTCTAAAAACTTTATTAGCCCAAATGCAACCCTCCTCAAAAGACCTCTATACTGTACTTTCCAGCTTGGGCTCAAATAATCCACCTATCTTCTGAGACCTGGGGGACAAGGGGGAAATCTTTGATAATAAAGACTTCTCAACCACCCTGCATTTCTCTCCAGCTCCCCAGGATTCAAAACACAGACCCTGTTCAGTAAGTGCGCATGCATGCAGAACAAAAAGAGATCACTCACCTAGTTTAAAAACACCCAAGATGTTCAGTCCTGAATTTTAAGCAGCACATGTGACCCGGTCCATTCTAGTTTCAAGTTCAAAGGCATCAGGCCGGTCCTGTGGGTTAGCAGCTAACATATCTTTCAAGAGCTGCTTGATTCCCTCAGACATGGAAGTCCTACGTTTCTGGGGGATGTGCAACTCCATCTTTGGGTTTTCTAGCAGCGCCTCGCCAACAGGGACGATCTCAGTTCCCTGTTTAATGTAGGTCCCCAGGAGCTCTTTCTTGGTCTCAGAGTCAATGAAAGTGATTCTTTCTATCATTGCCCAGATAATAATGCCCAGGGCAAAGATGTCCGCCTTGGCCGTGTAGTGTCCCTCCCAGACTTCAGGGGCCATGTAGAAGTCTGAACCACAGGCTGATGACAGCCAGTATTTATTCACATTCACATTTTTGTTGTCTTGATTGCCCTCTTTGCCTCGAGGTGCCACCCCAGCACAGACTTTGCTCAGTCCAAAGTCTGCCACTTTGAGGATGGGAGTGCCAGACCGCTCTGTGATGAGGATGTTGTCTGGCTTTAAGTCCCTGTGCACGATGTGGTTTTTGTGCAGGAAGGCAATGGCGCTTGTGAGCTGCAGCATGAAGCTTTTGTTGGTGGCTGGGTCTGGCCTTCGAGACAGGACATACTGATTCAGGTCTCCACCTTCACAGAACTCCATGACAAACCAGAGATAGCAGGGCTCTTCAGCATAGCCCAGGATCCTTTCTCCTAAATCAAGGGAGGACAGGAAAGAGTCTCAGTGAGATGGAATGTTTACATCAGTTTTGCACCTTAATGCAATGCAAAGAAATGTACTTATATTAAAGAAAACAGTGGTGACAACTGCTCCAAGGAACTGGTAAAACTGGCACTGAATCAATTCTACACATGCAGGTGCATTTCTACCAACGTATAAGACAAGTAAAGGTATGACACAGTCATTAGGGACTAGTGTCAAGCACCTGGGGGCTGGAATTAAAAGGCCTGCGTGTGAACTTTGGTTTATTGCCATCTGATTGACCATAAGACCATTTTGTTTCTTTGCATTTGCCTCCCATCAGAGAACATCATTCCACCCATACTTCCAAAGGTTTCTAGGAAAATGAACAAGGTACAGTATGAGAAAAGGCTGTGAAATGTCGGTCTGGTGCTTCTATTATCACTGCTACTTCCTGCCAGGCAAACAATCTCTTTTTCTGGCCTCTTAAAAAACTGTTAGTCCACATGGAACAGCATTTCAACATTATTTCAGAAGAGTTCTTCAATTCATCAATATCTTCTGCTGGAATATCATATATCTAACACAAGTCAGGTAAGCCGCATTCCCTCAGCATTACGAGGCTTAGTTTGGAGGAGGAGGCAGGTATCTGTCAAAGCAACCCTCATAAGCCAAACACAGGCAGCAAGGAAGGTGGGCAGGAGTCACCAGGTTTGTAGCAGTCACAAAGGACAGGATCTAAGTTACCCTTTAAACAACAGGCAGATCAGGAGGCAGAAGCAAGAAGGGAATACCAGGCTGAAAGGGAACAGATAGTAGGCTAGATGGACAAATGGACCAGGAAGGTGTAACCAATAGGAATAGTAGCATTTGAAGTAGATACATAAAGTGAATTGAGCAAATCCCTGCTGCCACACTGAGCCCTAGGATGGAAGTTATTTGATGACAACTGAACCTGGTACTAAGTCTAAGCAGGCAAATGTCTTATTGCTTGATGAAAAGGAGGGCATGCAAGTGAAGGAACTTGCCCTGAGCACTCACACTGTCATATGTATACCTGGACCAGGGCCTGAAAACAAGCTCTTTGGCCCCCAGCAAGGTATATTCCTCTTTCAGAGACAAGGGCCTTACTTCCTCCTACAACCTCTGTTGCCAGTCATTTACTCTGTAGTACCTTATTATAAAAGACAATCAGCACTCCAGATTATGGTCCTGAAATTACCAATGCACACAATCTCCAAGTCAAAGGCTTGGGAGTTCAGCTAACAAGATGACAACAAAAAGCTTCAGGCCTTTTTAAAAATCATAATCTGATAGACTTTACTTCCCCTACAATTATGTAATTTATTTGTTTATATTATTCATAATCAAAGTGACACAGGTAGAACCAGTTTAGGGCAGATGGGTTGTTTTGTTTTGTACATCAGTTGTTTCCCCTCTCCTAATCCCCTTTCTAGGTCACCAGCAAGTGGGCTGAGGCTCTCCACCTAAAAACACTGCAAAATGAAACAGCAATCTGAAGAGCAAATCCACCTAGATTCTAGTGAGGAAAGACAGAAGAAAAAATGTGAAGAGAGTTTTCTTAGTGGTATAGCTAGAAAGGGAAAGATTTAAAAACCATCAAATTCCTTCTGTGAAGGACGTATTAGAAAATACTGAAGCCTCTAGTGGAAAAATAAGAGTGGGAAATGACGATTATTTCATATACAAAGTTAGAATGACAACTGACGAAAAAGTCTGCCAAATGGACTATAAAAGGTTAAAAAAAAGTGCCCTAAGTTAGTGCATGGGTGGGGGCTGTAGATGGGATCCTGGACTGAGAAGCCTATTCTGAGGAAGTGAGATGAGCCTGAGCTGTGGAGAGGAAAACTGGATAGGAAGAAGCATTCTGGGGATTTGATGTGTCAACAGTCACAGTGACAGAATGAAAACTGGGGTGCCCAGTCATTTGTCCCAGAGAGGAAACTGTTTCCTTGAGCAGGCAGGCCTTAGGCTCACTTCCAGAGAAACAGGAGCCTGTATTTTCATGGAGGAGCTCCATCTGCCCACCAGAAAATGGAAGGGGCACAATGGAATAGCAGCCCGGTACCACAGGTTTCTGCGACCTCAGGACAAGACGCAGATTAGACGTGGAAGTGGACAACACTTGGCCTCTGGCACATTTCTGCGGTGAAACAAGCCAGGGTGAAGGAAGAGAAGCATGGACCAAGAAGCAGTCAGGGTGTAGATCCCAGTTTTACCCACTGGTTTACTGGCTGGATTCTTAGTTCAGAGGAAAACATCAGGGAAGATGCCTAGAATCTTTCTGGGGCAAGTCCCTTAACCTCAGGGGCTTCCTTTCATCTGTCAAATTTGAAAATGACAGCCACACCATATGATTACTGTGAATTAAGTTAAACACGTAAAACACATTTTGCAAGTACAGGTACTTTGGGATTTAGGTACCAGCCATCACTAACATCTGCCACAAGATCCCAACCAGGTCCTTAGAAGTCAGAGATTTCAATAATCCCAGTGCCAAGAATAAAGTTCTCACGTGTTAAGCAAAAGACAAAATTTATATCAGAAACAGAACATGGATAATTCCACAGAAGACATCAAATTTAGGCAGTAATAGTGAAAATCTATATAGGTCTATAAAGTTCCATCTCTTGAAAATGTATGCCATAGTTTGTAATAGCCAAATCTTGGAAACAACCCAAGTACTCAACAATTGGTGAATGGATAAAGATGTGGTTTTTTATCGCAATGGAGTACTACTCTGCCACAAAGAAGGCTATGCCCAAGACGTTTCTAGAAAAATGGGTACACCTTGAGTCCATACTCTTAAGTGAAATAAATCAGACATAAACGTGTGAACGCTATATTGTATCTCTGGTATGAGAAACCACAGCATAAATTAGGACCAAAATGTATTTTGAAATAGAAAGAAAATGTTCACATGGGGTGGGGAACAAGAAACAAGGGAGAGGAAAAGAAAGGGGAAAGTAAAAAAGACATGAAAAGAAGGAAAACATGGACATGAAATTTTGTAAATGGGGTAGGGAAGAGGGGCTACCCAGGGAGGGTAAGGGAATGGGAAAAACAAAACAAGTTATATCATGTATGCGTACAAATTCTGGGTAATAAATGTGATTGTTATACGTATGTAAAATATACCAATAAAAGGTAATGTGAAAAAAAGAAAACGTGTGCCAAAGTGAGTAACTATGGCTCCCAACTTAGCCTTTGGTCAAATTCTTAATGTTCATCATCTTCAGCCCAGCTTGAGAGCCACCCCACTTTCTACTAGTCCCGTTTCCCAGGTAACTTTCCTCTTCTCACCAGCTAAGGTCCCAGTGTTAAATTTCGATTTTAGTTTACATTAAGTTATACCAACTATTCTGGTTCGCACCCATGGCACCACTCTTGCATTTAATCATCAGAAAGGTCAGCGCATCTTGAAAATGTTGAGGGAGGTAGTCAGATCACTCAGTAGTACAGCCTTGCTGGAAGGACCTGCAGATACTTACAAAGTGTGCTAACTTTGGTAAGCTGGGGAGGGAAAACAGTCAAACCACTGGTTATTCCTGAAGATTAGCTCCCAAATGACCCTATATGTGAAGACTCAAAGTGCTATAGGGGTCTCTTAGAGCAGGGGCTGATGGAGATCCAGAGACTTTTAGCTCAGGCCCATTTCATAAAGGGTCCATCCAGTGGGCCCCCACTCCAATACTGTTTATTTCTTTGCTTTTTGGATGTACAGTGGTACCTCAGTTCATGAATTCAATTCTCTCCAAGATTCTGGTTATAAACCAAACTGGACAAGAACTAAATCAAATTTCCCTATAAGGTTAACATTGAACCTAATCAATGAATTTTTTTGCTTGTTTATTTTCTGAGACAGGGTCTCACTAGGTAGACCAGGCTGGCCTTGAACTCAAGGAGATGTTCTTGCTTCAGTCTCCTGAATACTGATATTACAGGAGTGCATCACCATGCCTGGTTCTAACCACTAAATTTAATTTGGTTCTCATTCAACTGTTTGGGACCAGAATCGTGTAAAGAATCCAATTTGTGAACCCAGGTACCACTGTATAATTGGAACAGAGCTATGTAACAACTATTAGAATCCCCACATGAAATTTAGCATTGTGAACTGACAGAAACATAGGTTTTTATAATTCCTTTGTGAGGCATACTCTGATGGTTTTATAAGAATACTACATTATAAGACTTAAAAATTCAGCTTCCTTTGGAGAAAATATTGGCAGTGGTACTTGGAGGTGACAAGAACTTGAGGAAATGAGAGTTCAGCGGCTGCTGTTTACAGGTGGGAAGCTTCAATGAGGAAGGTTGAGTAATTCCTCTGACAGCAGAGCCCTGAGGGGCAGGCAAGACCCGCACCTTCACAGCCAAGTCCTGAGGCTCCCAGTTTACACACACTGCTCTGATTAAAGGGAGGCAGGCCCACGCTGGGATAGCCCTACTACTTTCCTTCAGGTCTAGTAATAGCTGACCACAAGATAAATTCTGTACTTCAAAACATCCTATGCCATGGCTCACAGGGAGACAGAGAAAATACTACAACACCTTCACTGTACAATCAACCAAGGAGGTGTCTCACATCATCAGTATTCATGGTTAAATAAGAAGCGAAAGCACCCAAAAAAATGTGGCCTGCTTTATGGAGAAAGTTGAGGCCAGCAGGCACTCCTGCAGGCAGATGTGAGCTGTGGAAAAACAGGCACCTTCTGGAAAGGAACACAAAATACCCTAGATTTCATAAGCCTGCCCTTAAGCATCCTGGTTAAGAGTTCAGCTTCTAGTTCATTCCATTCGATTATTTCCTGAGCACATGGGGCTTTGTCCCAGAGGTGAGATAAGCTAAGAAGCAAAGGTTTCTAGTTATAAGAAGCAGAATGACTGTAGCTATGAGACCTGGGAAGAGGGTCCAGTATTGCCTGAGCAGGGGATAGAAGGGAGGAAAGGCAGGGTGAGGACTACAAGAGGCCATTCAGCTGTTTTCTCC